CTCTCTCTCTCTCTCTCTCTCTCTCTCTCTCTCATATTTTAATTACAAATGTTAGATTACAAAGTAATATATGAAGTATTTTTAAATTAAATAATTAACAAGTAAATATTTTAAAGTAGTCTTTATTAAAATAATTATAACACATATTAACACACATAAATTCTAACACATATTCAGTGCCTCTATTTGCTGTCATTTATGTCTATGATATGAAGTAGTTTTATATTTCAATCCATAGCCGCCACCAACTAAATTAAATTCCTTGTTATTTAATTCTAAATAAATCCAATTGCTTTACAATTATTGTATATTTATATTACTAATTAAATAACAATTTAAGTATTAATTATTTGTAAATTTGTTACAAATAAATTTCAATTAAACATGTTGGATAAATAAAAATCTTACATTTTCAGCAATTACAATGTAAATTTTATTTTATACTGGTTGAGATGATAAATATTAATAATATTTATGTTAAGTAATAAATTGATTATTTTAACAAATAGTGTTTACATTTTGCCTTCTATTTGATAGAGTAAATAAATTAATATTTTGTGTAACAATTGTTTGGCTATTATTAACAATTGAAGTTTTATTTTTAATGAGCAATTGTATGAATAGATTAGTGAACATAAGGACCGATACACCAAACCATAGGCCCAGAAGTGATCCAATGAATGCTAAATACTCTTCGAATGTCATTTTTAGCGATATCTCGTACACAATATTGGACTCTAACGGTATATTCAAATTTATTGTCAAACTAGATTTAGCATTTTCAATTTGATTCACTGTTTAGCTCGTGGAGTACAAGTGTTGTATACATTCTATACGGTGACCACAATTACGCGGGCAATGCTCGTCGATACTAGGGTTGATGATTTACTTAAAACTCGGTAAAAAATAATTTTTAATCAAATAAAACTATAATTCTTACTATTAATTAAAAATAATTTATTTTAGACTTGATTTTATTTAAACACCTTTGTTAATTAAAATTTTAAATAACAAATATTAAAATTTATAATAATTAGACATTCGGTAAAATTTATCGTGATTGATTTAAATTAAAATGATATATTTTTTAAACTAAGAAAAAACAACATCGCAGAATTAACCACACTATTGCTACTGCGTTGGTCAGCGATTACTTAACTGTGGTCAAATTAATTTAAAACAATTAACAATTGATTTAATATTATTTAAATATTTTATTTAATAAATTGTTTATTTAAAACATGATATCAATTAACAATTACTTCCAAACAGCAATCGTTCCTTTGGTGGGCGCTTACTAGGTCCAGCATACGCTGCGGTTGGTGTTAAAAACACCCGGCTCATACGAATCGCGTGTCTCGCATGAATAATCATACCTCCAAGATTCATCACCCATTTCCCTTTCAACATCACATACTTCAGGGCAAGTCTTACTTTTACATGCTTCGCTTATCATGCCTTTTGCCCTTTTGTTGTATCCGTTAAAGCTAAATGATGTAACCATAACAGCCTTATTTGGATAAGTTATCCCGACTAATCGCGGTGCGCCCTCTTCGTTGGCCCAATATTCAGCGGTAACGCACTCGGCTTTCGGCGACTCAGTTTTTTTAGGCCAGTAACAGACTTTGGGCCGTTTGCACTGCGGCTTGATTTCGTTGCACTGTCGTCCCGCCTCGGCCCTGTCCTTAGGCACTTTACCTTTGCACGCCACCTGCGGAACCGCCGGCTTACTTTCATTGGTGGATGTGGTCCGCGATCCATCTTTTTTCTTTTTTTTCGATGTCCACGAGGCGGCCCTCGGCGTATCGCGTTTATGGCGTGCGAGTGCTCTCCAACCGGCACCGGTCGACGTCTCGCCCAACTCTGAGTCGCTGTCCTGTACTAAGTTTACCATGATGACAGTCATTACCATAAGTGCCACGAACGTCATTTTGATCCACGCCATGATGCAATTTTGGTTTTGTGATTTTATTTTAAATACTATTTTTTATTGTAAAATAATTATTTACTCGATAATTAAATGGCGAGTACACTATAATTAATTACAGATGGTTTATATGTTTTAGAGTATATGTGCAGTCCTTTAATGGATATTGGTAATGATAACGTTATTTTCCAATTACAATAATATCTATATTTCCAACTTTATAAATAAAGTTTATAATATTTGTTGGTTAAAATAAATTAAATTTCTATTAATTAAACTTCTTCAAAAGTTTATTTACAACTTATTTAATATTTAATAAATAAATAAACAATTAATCTTATAATCGTAATCACAATACACCACATAATCATTGGATATCATTAATAGCCGTAATCTCTTGAATGCGACAATACTTTCGGTGTTTTTGTAACTCTTCTTCGGACGCCCTGTACTTCACATCCAATGAATGCAATAATGTATTCAATTCGCGGTTCTCTTTCGACACATACTGTCTGTACAAATAAATTATAACAAATTAATTAATTAATAATCACAAATAAAATTACAACAACTATAAACACAATACCTATAAGTAATGCACACTATTTATAAATGCAGCGAAATTTTAATAATATTCAAATTAGTAATAAATAAAGTATAATAAAGTTTGTAATAACTTAAATTTAACATGCTTAAAATTAAGCTCGGTAACAACTAATACCAATAAAAACAAACACAATAATAGGCTATTATTAATAACCATACCTAAGCCTGGATACCATCTCCCGGTGCCGTTGCTTACGTCGACTATACTTCGCGGACAACTCCGACAACTCCTTAACCCTTTGGCTCAACTCCTTCTCTAGACGTCTCTCCCGATCGGACCCTCCATTAGCCGTCGGCCCCACCGATGGTCGGCGTCGCTGTTGGGGGTAATCGACGACAGGACTGTCCGACGTTTCCGACGACTGACTGTCGGCACCGGTGGCAGTGCTGGCGGTCAACGGCCGGCCGTTTTGGTAGTCACTGACTCTCAGTAATTGTTTTTCCAATTCATCGCATTGTGATTGAGATTCCGATAGCTTTATGTTTGGCGTATATATAGGGGGCGGGTATTAGGGGTCGAGTAAACAAAATAATGTCAATAATAGTTAATTAGTATTCAATTCAAGCATGAAATAAATTTTTGGCAATGGCCTAATGGGGAGAGGGGACTAATATACCTGTTGTTTATTAAATCACTATGGTAGTTTAAAACATATACTGTTACTTTAATTAGTTATTCAATAGTTGTTATGTTTGTCGCATAATAAAGTTATTTTAATAATGTTTAGTAGTTTTTTATTTTTTAAATAGTGTTTTTTAATTAAATTTTTATGTTATTATGAAATAGTTTTATTTGTAAATTACTTTTCTAAATTATAAATTTAAAAATTATAGAGATTTTTGCAGAGATTATAACCGGTTTAAAGTTAGGTTAATTAAAACAGCTAGGTATTTAGTTAACTAGCAAGGATTAAATATTTTTGCTATTAAACTGTATGTTTATTAAAAAAAAGTTTAATTTACTTCTTGTAATAAAAAGTAATGTCTGTTTGAATTGAGTTTTACTTCAAATGTTTTGTTAAAATAAAAACAGACAAAAAAATACAATTATTTTTTATAATCACTTTTGAAAGTCTATTGAATATGAGTTTCACTCGTTTTTATCACTCATTTAATACCAAAAACAAGTTTTCTTTAAATGCATTCTTAAAATACAATTTGCTTTTTGATTAAAATCTAGTTTTCATTCAAAAATTTTACTTTTTATTCAAATCTTGTTAATTTTTTGTAATGTATATATTTTTCTACTTTTAATCCTACTTTTCGTGTAATTTTTCAAAATATAGGAAGAGTTTTATATCATATAATTGAAAGTAAAATAAAATTAAAAATACTTTTAACTTATATTATAAAATATTTTAAATGGGACTTCAATTAAATGTAAAAATTAAAAAACAACCTGATTGATTTTCTTATCAAATGATTTAATCTGACTCTCGTATTGAAAAAATCTATTTTAAAACTTATTATAAGTTAATTAAAATCATTTATCAACTCATAACACCTTTCACTAAATGTTTTATTTTAAAATAATTTAAATATATAAACAAAACTCTTTGAGTAAATAAATTATAACATTATTACAACGAAATTAGGCTACATTTCATAATTAATTATATCATAATATAGTAAAACCAAAATTATTTTTAAAAATAAATAACATTTTCTTAAACTAAATTTTAAATAAATAAAATACTATTTATATTAAAAATATAAATAAATTAAAATATAAATGAAACAAATCAAAAGCATTTAAATACTAATCAATAAACATTATAATAGCGATTATAATCAATAAATAAAATTATTTTCCTATTGAATTGTATGCAAAAACAGGGATTAAAACATGAATACATTGATTGATAGGTAGGGAACTGTTCCGGGAATATATGATAGACACATAAAAATCATATTTAATAACAAAATATTCAAATTATGGTAATTTTATTTAAATCTAATCAATTGTAAATAATTTCGTACACATTATGGCCTAAATTAAGTGACTATTAATGAGAAAATTAAATAATAAACACTGAGAATAAAATGCTACCTAAATATTAATCTACATAGATACTAACTTAAAGCACCTGTACTACATTTTTACATTGATGGGCGATATTATATACCGATCTAATACCCATAATTATATTTATTCATACCTATAATTACCATAAAAATTAAAATAGCTATCAGAACAATGTAAAAATAGATTCTAATAACAAATACAAAATCAATTTACTATAAAATTTCAAATAAATTACTTAAATATAATCAGTAAAATCTCATTACTAAACTCTACACCAAGCCCTTTTAACCCCTCCCCTT